CAATAAAACATTTGTCAAAGCAAAATCATGAACGTAAACACACATTGCAAATCTGGCTATATTGAAATGAAGCGGCCTGATTTGTTTCCTGTATGCTGTGATTTGCATTTAATTTTACTGTGCTGAATCCTTCTACCGGGACTTTGGTGGAAAGCAAAGCACAAATAAACTGCACCATTATTGGAATGTCTTGGTGTTGTTGTAAAACGTAATCATAAGAAAAAGAAGGAGGAAAAGACAACTGTGAGTTGGACGAGGTGCATTTTGATAAGCACGATTTTAATACGTACATGTACGTGTACAACACAAGGTTATGGACAATATCTGCAATGATTAAACAGTCATCATTCTGCTTCTCTCAGACTGTAAGTGGTAGAAGCATTACCCATGTATGACTGTGTATTATAACTACCTAACAATGAAAATGCACCAGGTTGTCCCTGTTGGTTTGGGTTAGAGAGTGGTTGTTATGCCCTCTCAACATCTCTTCCATCAACTAGTGGGTGAACGTTTTGAGTGAGAGGCACAAACTACCGGGTGCATGTTCATGTTTTCTGCATATTCTGCTCAGAGTTGATTTGCATAATTCAGAGTTCAGCTGCACTGGGTCTTGGTGCACCCCCTCACTTCATGCTCTGTCTGAAACAAGCAGCTCTGTGCCCTCTCCCTTTGAACTAACCTTCTTCTGATTGGCTGCCTCTGGCAAGATGAAGGCTTGGATAACAGGAGTGTGGAGCCTCTGTGTTCATAGCGAGAGCTGCGTGCCTGAGATGACCAAAGTTTAACCCCTCTCCACACACAGCCTTGAGCAGAAACTCTTAAGCTGTCACAAACTTTGGAAATGTTTTATTTAAGCATCCTCCATGGTTACAGTACGTATGACGCAAAGTAAGGAAAAGCATAAAAGAGCACACGTTTAGGATTTCAGATCTAACTTGAAGTTGCACATATGTAATTTGGCCCCGGTGTACCAAATAGGTGACAATTTTTAAAAATGTGGCAGATATTAATCTAAACTTAGACCCAACCAGATTGACAGAGGAAGTGAGGAGATTATGCTCAATTCAGAGCTGTTTGGACTTACGAACAACACTTCAATTAAGTGGCTGATGTTGAGTTAATCTGCTGGGTAAGAAAGAAGAGTTTTCTTCTTTTCCAAACCTATGCAGTGGGCCGGATATAAGTCTTTGCCGACGGTTGTGGCCCCAAGGGCCTTACATTTGTTACCATAATCTGACATGAATTAAACCAAAAATGTGGCTTTAATATTAAATATCACAGTAAATAAAATAAATAATGTGATGCTAGTTTTCCACAGTTCAGACAGACAGCATTTATTTTATGCACACCCCTGACAACTAGATTGATTAAAGGTGGCTAGGGGCCCCTTAGGGTGGTAAAAATATAAAGTTTGTTAGCTTTTAGGGGCCCCCCACTGGCCTGGGCCTTAAGCAACGCCTCTGGTTACCGT